CTTCCCTGGCTGCCGCCGCTGTCACCGCAGAGGCCTCCGCCCCCGCCGCGGCATCAACGGAACCTTCCGCGGCTCCTGATGCCTCCCCTGCAGCCTCCTCCTCCTCCGCTGCCGCCGCCGTCGCCGAAGACCTCGCGGGGGGCGTGGCGGCATTGAGCCTGGACGAGCGGTTCGACTTGCTGATGAGCATAGGCGAGGAGTGTATTCAGCCTGACGAGCTCAAGCGGCTGCTGCAGAACAAGCCCGTCCCTATCTGCTACGACGGGTTCGAGCCCTCTGGCCGAATGCACATTGCCCAGGTTCGACGGAAACTTACCGCCTTCCCATCTACTCCCTCCGTTCCAAAATAGATGACTCAACTTTGTACTAACTTTAGTACAAAGTTGGGTCATCTATTTTGGAACGGAGGGAGTAATAACTTCGGATCGAATGTGCGACTCGGTCAGGAGCATCCAGGAGGATACCTTCGGTTGTCAGGAAGAGTTCTTGGACAGGAATCTCGGATTTCAACTAACATCGTTACCAAATTTATGAGTGCAGTATATGACTATCAAGTGTGCTGTTACCTGTTCGGGTGGTGTTATCATGTTCATTCATGTTGTGATATGTGTCTACAGTCGTACTCTAGGTCTTTGTTGACCAGCTAATTTAATACCCAAACAAGAAGGTTATCACTTAGCATGGTATTACCTAGCTGGATGCTTACACTAGATGTATGCCTAGCCTACTTATTTCTGCTATCCATAAAACTAGGGAGTAGTCGAATTTTGATTTTTTTTCTAACTCTTAATCATATGTGCAATTGTGCATCAGATTAGTTAAATAGCATGTGCTGATTATAGATGACTGGGTGGTTATATTTGTGCTAGTAGTTTTTGGTTAAACTGCTGAAGTCTTTGAAGAATAAGAAACCAAAAGAAAAGTGTTAGTTCAGAGAACAAAGAGAGAGTGTGCAAAATAGTAGCATAAATAAAACTAGAAAGAAGTCAGCAATAAAAGCTCCTGAAAATAAGGAGCACTATCCTGATTCGTTCTGTATGGGAGCGCCAGTAGGTTGTGGTTATAATACCCAGCCTTGATTTCTCCGGCTCTGTCAAACTAGAAAGATTAGTGAGTTTACCGCTCCCATATTTCGTTGCTTTGTTGTTCCATAAGATTAATAATAAGAATGAAACATCCTAGTATAAATGTTAATCTTACACGTGCCTTTAGCAATTCTTGATGTGCTTCCACAATTATTATGATGCCAGTACTACACATTGTGAAAATGGTTACTTTAGTGATGCAATGAGGCCAATATGCGCAAACTGTCAGATTGCAAGACCTGATAGGACTTGCTGGTGATAGACATTCTCATGTATTGTATTCACAGGGTGTTGTGAAGACAATTAATGTTAACAAGATGATCAGAGCGGGATGCAAAGTGAAAATCTGGATAGCAGACTGGTTTGCACAGCTAAACAACAAAATGGGTGGTGATCTGAAAAAAATCCAGACTGTCGGGCGCTACATGATTGAAATATGGAAAGCAGCTGGTATGAACCTTGATGGTGTTGAATTCTTATGGTCTTCAGAGGAAATTAATAGGCGTGCAAATGAATACTGGCCACTTGTAATGGACATTGGCAGGAAAAATAATATCAAAAGAATAACGAGGTACGGCCATTTAAATTGCATATGCATCCAGATGATTCTTGACTTCCAAAGTTCGAACTCAAACATAATTTTGCCATTTCATTTTTCCTTACTTCACAGGTGTTGTACGATTATGGGTCGCTCTGACAATGAGGAATTGACTGCTGCACAGATCTTCTATCCTTGCATGCAGTGTGCTGATATATTCTTCCTGAAGGTTAGTATATTTATATTGCAGACACCGCTCTGTAAAATTTTAGTTTAACCATTCACATAATTTAAGTAAGGCTATTGATATATTTCTATTTCACTCGATATTGTAGGGTGGTATGCCTTTATTCTAGATTTTTAGATTGTCATTGATTCTCTCTAATCTGTTTCTGTTTGTAGGCGGACATATGCCAGTTGGGTATGGACCAAAGGAAGGTTAACATGTTAGCAAGGGAATATTGCGATGACATCAAAAGGAAAAACAAGCCAATTATTCTGTCACATCGTATCCTGATCTGCCACTGCTGTGTTGTTTATTTTTTTTCTGCAGTGTGTTTTGTCTTAATATATTGATATATGTGTCTCGGTGGTTATGTCGTTAGAATTCCTTTGTAGTGTGTCATTGCCAGGTCGTATAATTTTTTTTGTTCCTTAACATGAATTACAGATATGCTCCCCGGTTTCAAAGAAGGCCAGGAGAAGATGTCAAAGAGTGATCCGACATCGGCTATCTTTATGGAAGATGATGAGGTTCTAAATTTTCTCTTCATGAACAACCTTTATTTATTTCAAAAGCTTATGCCACCTAATCATTCCATACAACCTCATCCAGAGATGTTTGAATGTTGAAAGATATTACTTGGCTAGGATATTGTAGGGTATGGTCCTTGTTTGCCATGCAAGAAAATGAAGCCCTAACCAGCATATTTGGATGTTAGGTTTGGCGATTTAAAAAATACTTCTACTCTTGATATGCGTAGACATGTTATTTCTAGTATTTTTAGAAGTTCTACCACTTCAGTCTGGTCTGCACTGTGTTCATCATTTGCTTAGAACTTGTCTTTGTCGTTCAATTGATCTTGTAGATGGCATGTGGTCATGATATTATCAATTTATCAAGCTGGAATTTATAGAGCAAAATTTGTTTGTCAAGGTTTTGCCCTTTTCCTGAGCTGATATTGTACCCTAACCAAATTTATTGCAGGCTCAGGTAAATTTGAAGATAAAGCAAGCTTTCTGTCCTCCCAAAATTGTTGATAAAAATCCGTGCCTGGAGTACATCCAGTACATTGTTTTCCCTTGGTTTGACAAGTTTGAGGTTGTCCGCAAAGAAAACAATGGCGGTAACAAGTAATATTCTTTTCTTGGACTTACTAAAAATTTAAAAATCTTATCTGTGTTGGTTGAATAAACACACACACCTTAGTTAATCTCTGTTGAAAGTTTTGTACTATTGACTTTTTTTTGTTTGGAGTTATAACCATGCTTGCTTTGAAACAGGACATTTTTAACCATGGATGAGCTTGTTGCTGATTATGAAGCGGGTGATTTGCATCCTGCCGACGTTAAACCTGCTTTGGCGAAAGCGATCAATGAAATATTGAAGGTAATAGTTTTTATCATGTTTTTTTTCTTCAGTAAGGTGGTGCAGTCTTTCACGAGTCATTAACTTATGCACTCTCAGAGCATTACCAGTTTCTGTTTGTTTTTTGATTTGTTCCACTGCTGTATTTTTCATAATTCATTATTTAGTAAATTGTATTGTGAATTTGTAATGCCTGAGATGGTTTCTGTTATTTTTTTATCATTCTGTCGCTGCATATCTCATATTTTGTGCCATACCTGGCAAATAGTGTCGATGGATTACTTTTATTGTGGAGGTGTCAATCTTGTGGCCTATTAATGCAATTATTAATCTGGACACCTGTGTTTTCTTTTCAATCAAGTTCCTTTTTAGAGATATACTACTCCCATCTGAAAATATAAGACGTTCTTTCAGTTCAATTTGAACTGCAAAAACATCTTATATTTTGGGACGGAGGTAGTAATTTGTAATGTCTCATATTTATTCATGTATAGATTTGTTTGGCCTAATACCATTTTACACTTTTCAGCCTGTTCGTGACCACTTCAACAGCAGCAGTGAAGCCAAAATTCTCCTCAATACTGTTAAGGTACAACTTTGTACCCACTTGCATGAATGAATGTTAAAATAGAATGCTGGCTGTTATCTGGTTATGTAACTTACTCCAGACACATTAAGACTTTGCAACTTATTTCATCCTCATCCCCTGTGCTTCTGCTCTGAAGTGAATGATAACAGCAAGTTGCCGGTTTCATTTTGAAAAAATGGTATATATCTAGATAAATTTCCCCCGATTCTGACAATGGGTTAATATATTTCCCCTGAATCTAACGAATGGAATTTTGATTTCTAGTACATTATCAGTATCTTGAGCCATTTTTTTT